CTTACACACACACACTCACACTCACTCACTCACTCACACACACATACAATACGCTTACTCACACACACACACAGACACACACACACACACACACACACACACTGGCTGCTTCATGCTGTGAATCTTCAAATGAACTTTGTGCTGCTGTGTGACGGGAGAGTTTTCTCTTTTGTGTGTTTATTCCACCAAACTTTAGAAGTACTGTTCGAAGGTTTGGAATAATTAAGGCTTTTTATTTTTCTGAAAGAAGTCTCTTCTGCTCACCAAGGCTGTGTTTATTTGAAAATACAGTAAAAAATGTGAAATATTATTAGAATGTAACACAGCTGTTTTCTATGAGAATCTCTGCTAAACTGTAATGTATTTCTGTGATGCGCAGCTGTATTTTCAGCATCATTACTCCAGTCTTCAGTGTCACATGATCTTCAGAAATCATTCTAATATGCTGATTTGAAAACAGTTATTCAATATTTTTGAATCAAGCGGATACAGTCTTGGTGAGCAGAAGAGTCTTCAGGAAGGTTAAACTCGTCAGATGGTCGTTAGCGTGCCTCTAGAGAGTCGCTCTGCTCTGGTTTATGAGCTGTAATTGCAGGGCGTCCGGGACACAAAAACACACTCAGATACCAAACAAAATCTGCTTTGGGCTTCTTCTGTGTGACTGAACCACCAGGAAGCTCCAAGAACAAATACTGCATGTGATCTGGATTCAGATTCACTTCAGTTTCACACTCTTTCCTGAACTCACGCAGGCAGAGATGGAGGCTCATGGGAAATGTTCTTCCCTCAGGAAGCAGTCACTCCCTCACTTCCTGTCCTGATGTTTGATTGACAGCTGCACCCGTGCGATCGGGAGCTGATTGGTTGTATGTGTTTGGGGGCGGGGTCAGGGGTTGCCAGGGAAATGTTCAGCTGATTCAATGGGCATTCATGCTTTATTTTTATCACACAATAGCAGTGAAAAAAAGCTATTGTGTTATTTCCAGAGTTTGACGATGATTATTACTGTGATTAGAGCAGAAAGGTTATCGGCACGTCACAGGAGAACAGATTCATTTTTAGCTCTCGTCGAGCGTTAAAGGAAAAATCCACCCAAACATGACACGTTTACTCGTATGATCTTTATTTCTGTGAATCACACAGCAGACCTTCAGCAGGACCTTTTATGTGGCGTCTGACAGTATAAACGACTCAGATTGAAGATCAGATCTGAAAATGTGTGTAAGCAGTTGAAAAAAAACTGTAAGTTGTTTGTGTTTTGTTTGCAGTCACTATCCGAAGACGTCGTTCACTATCGTGACGGACACACCGGAGAACCTGCGTCTGAAGCAGCAGAGTGAGCTACAGAGTCAGGTGAGCGTCACACCTGTGTTTCCGGGCCAGGACTCATCTCGCATTGAATCTTGCATCAAAGCATTAAGCAGAAATCCAAAGCGTGTTTTATGATGGTGACCCAGATTTCTGCGCCGTCTTCCTTTGACTCTTCTGGATGTTCATGTAGAGCAGAAACACCGGCGTCACACGTCTGTTATTGATTACACATTGACGTTTGATCACAAAGATTATTCTCCACGCGAAACTCTGAGCCGATCTGGGAACTGAACAGAGAAGCGCTTTGAGTGATAAATGTTTCACGTTCTGCAGCGTTTGTGTTTCCAGGCGTTCAGATGAGTTCGTTCGGATCTCCGGCCGCGTTTGCTCGTTATGTTCAGTCGATTGAGCCGTGAGATCGACGCTGATGTCCCACATATCGCAGCGCAGTGTGTCTGTGTTTTACATCAGAGGATTGTGACCTAAAAACAGGTCACGGCTCTGTTCTGATCGTATCATAAAACACTGCGCTCACTGTAAAATATGTGATTCACACAGTGCTTCTGCTCATCATGAAGCAAACTATGAAGCACTCAGGATCTGGTTGATTCAGTCATAGTGAATCATGTCAGACTTCAGTGAAACCAGTTTAGATTTATTTTAGGCTTTTAAATGAAACCCTTTGACGGTGTGTGAAGATGGTTGTATAAGAGACATGTGTGTGTGTGTGTGTGAGTGTGTGTGTGTGTGTGTTAGTGTGTGAGTGTGTTAGTGTGTGAGAGTGTGTGTGTGTGTGTGTTAGTGTGTGTGTGTGTGAGTGTGTGAAACGACGCATCTGTCAAGCTGTTTGGTGATATAATGGAAAAGTGCACAGGAGAGGAGAAAGCAAATCTGCCCACATGCTAATTAAACGCATTCACGCATCTGGTAGTCCTG